CGGCGGCGTCGACACGACTTCATGCTTAATCAAAATGTGTTGTAGGCTCGCCGGCTCTGATCCTTTTGAACTGCCGCTGCCACTGTAATATTTAAACCAGATCAGTTCCATGCCGCCAATGCCGCCGCCGACGTTGCCGTTGCCGTTGCCGTTTGCTGGGACTGGGAACAGCCATTGAGAGAGTTGGGATCAGCTTATTCTTCTGGGGAAAATTACCACAGCTTTGCTAATGAAAGGCAAACGAATGAAATTTTAACGAGCCCACAAAAATCGTAGGGTAAAGAATGCCTCAGACCGAGTCCAGGACCTCCTGTGTTGTTTGTCCTTAAAAGGTGATAACGCCGCCGTTTTGTGTTCCCATCCCTTTTCTTTTGTTATGTAACGAATTTACAATTTATGTTGTGCTCAATTGTCTTAGTTCGATTATTAATATCTCTTTAGCGCAAATGACAGAAAGACTCCTTTTTTTTGCTAGGATCTGTAGTCTGTTCACGCCTTACAAAGTGCGTTTTCAGTTTTGTTATGGGAAAATATATTAACAGTAGCTAAAAGACGAGGAAATCCTATTAGGTAATAAATAATACTCAGAGGCAAACTTATTTCCGGCTTGATTGTTTATTATTAGATATGGATCTCAGAGCTGCAAATATGTATATTGGCTAGGAAAATGTATGAATATGGGTCTAAATGTGTTAAGTTAAGCCAAATAAAACAGAACAACAAGCTTTAGTGTCAATGTAAACAATCAACAACCTTTTCTGGGGGAATGATTACATATACAGGCTTATACTTTTGCAAAAGGAAATTTAATTACTTTTAATATCACGAAATATTTCTGGCCATTTTTAATTCGACCGGCACTCAATTGGCCTGTCCTAATTATAGCTTTTAGATTAATTAAATTAATACAATTTCTGGCGTTGGGGAGTCCCCAAAAGCAGCTTGCTTTTCATGATTGCTCAAAAGTTGTATTTTATTTTTATTCTTATAAACCGCAAAGGGCTGCCATTAATGAAATACGAAACAACAGATTAAATTAACAAGCAGAACCTAGACATATATACACATATTCAAGGGGCTTTATAGATATGCCAAAGAAAATAGCTAAAAAGTAAATATGCGAAACTCAAACATAGGTGAATATGAATGAAAGGGGAACTAAAGAGTAGACAAATGTTTGCATGTGCTTACAAAATGCACTGAAGTATGCACACAGGCTGGTTACTGAATGCCAATGACAAATTTATGTATAAACTTTAGCGCTAAAGTGCCACTAACTAACCCATACAAAGACACACACAAACACACATTCGAGTGCAATGGCACGACGAGGCGCCTGGGTGTATACTTTATGAATAGGGCATAGAAAATGCAGTTCTATGAATAGAGAGGACGCCCTCAGCGCAGCGCGAAGAGGGAAGAGCGAAGAGAATGCCTCAGGCTCGCCTGAGCACTTACAATAAGCACTCCCGCGATGAATATTATTAAAGGAGACCCATTTGAAAAGAGCGGCGGCGCCCTGACAATGTCAATGTGCTGACTTCTCTGGTTGACTGGGGAGCAGCTTTTAATGATTTATTTGAGAAAATTTACACGTGAACAAAAAAACACACACACAAGATGAATAGAATGCAGACACACACACACACACACACACAGGTGCATGAAAATGGAAGGAAGACTGGCACGGGCGCATTTTCGGATAGAAGACACAGATACGAAAACGCCTGTATTAAGTTGCCAGACCATGAAATGCTTTGGCACGTACATAGCGCCAATTTTGCGAAGCTTTTTGCATAAACAAAAGGCAGGTGAGAGGCAGCTGTGCCGCCCTCTGCCTCAGCCCATTTTATACTCTCCTGTCTCTTTATTACTATATTTGTGTGTGTGGCTGTGTGTGTGTGCGATTTCAGTTACAATTCGCGCTTTTTCATATTTTTTTTAACAATTTATCATGCGAAAATTGTCTGGGCGAGGGTTACGCTCACTTTGCATATGCAAACCAACACTGCTATTATTATTTTACTGCCCGGTTTCCTCGCATTTCCTATTGTTATTTTTTGATGCTTACCCTGTGGCACTACGTAAATTTAGTCACGTTGTTTAAATAATAAACTGCAGCATAAGCACACAAACAAACACACACACAAACACACTCACACTCACGCACATCCACTCGCGAAATTATGCAAAAATATCATCAGATTCGGAGAATGGCAAACTTATGGTGACAATGCGCATACGACATGTGGCTTGGCAAAAGTCTCTCACGGCTAGAAGGCGAATAGTGATGCCACAGCAGATACAACTTAATCAGTGAATCGTTAAGTAAGTTACGGGACAGGTGAATAACTTTTGTTGTATTCAGGTTGGATAAGATAAGACAAAAATTAAACACAATTATTTATTCCGTATCGCGAAGTGAATATCTTTGACTTCTAATTAGCATGAAATATACACAAATACACCGAGTCATCGATAAGATGTGTAATTTAATGACAATAATCAAAACTTTGAGTATGGAAAATGAGTCTGATGAACCGTTAAAGCCGAACCGAGATATGTATCTACTTTTGCGCATTAAAAAACGGGTAGTCCGAGGCAGCAAGTCGTACAAATTTATATCTGTCTTTATGGCTTAATGCCATCCATAAAATAGTAAACATATTTAACGATGCCTTGGAATTGTGCAGAAAAGTAGCGACGCGATCTGAGCTGAGCTCGATGGCTAATGACTTAATACATGACGGTATCTCTCGTAGTTGCTTTGAAATTTTCTTGAAAGCAGATATGTAAAATCTTTATATTTGTAACATCTTTATATGTATGTAAGCAAATTAAAAATGTATTATGTTTGAGTTAAAACTTCTGCTAGAATTTACTTACATTTTATGCACTTTGTGAAAACTTCAACTTTATCTGCAATTATATTTTACGCTGTGAAGTTTTAAAAACTTCCTCCGACTAAACAGCTGTTTTAACTCACATAATTAGCATTTTCAGGGAGCCAGTTGTTAATTTACCATAAATAACTTAACGTTCTGCATAAAGTCAAGAAAGAAAGGGGCGAGGGAACTGCTGCCCACCTCAATCGCCGACCTCGACCTACAGCAATTTGTTACATTTTAGCCCGAGCGAACACAAAATTATTACACCCGTTTGCCAACTTTTGGCAATAAGAAACGCAACTCAAGTCCCGAATTGGGGACCTACTTTCGCCAGAGCCAAATAAAAGGGGATACCAAAAATAGCCAAACACCATATAAAGAAGCGCAGAGAAGACAGCATCAGCTGCACCCTTCCCTCGTCCTCCCACTCACATATAAGGTCATAAAATAGTTGTCGCAACCTGGCGGGATAAGAATCTGACTCTGTCCCAGACTCTTCCTAGAGCGCTTGCCTGCACAAACAGACACACACACACACACACATATATATACAGGCACACACACTGTGATTACTTCGTTAAGTTGCATGTTGGTACAAATTGTTTCCAAAGAAAGGCAATGGTAATAAAAATTATTGCCCCAAAACAAACAGGCAAGGGTTAAAGGTAATCACAACAGCATGAAACTTGTGAAAGGTGCCTGGGTTGTGGAAACTATAAAGCTACACTAAATAAATAAATAAAAACAACAACTGCAACAGCAACAGACAGCAACAACAATATCTCGCTGTGATTATCTCGACCAGAGATTCTAGTTTATAGTGCATCCTATGATCTAGTGGGGGAAGGGGCAACTCCTGTCAAATATGCAGCTGTTATCATACGTTGTCATCGTTTGAAATGATGCACAAGTGTACCAGAACCAGACAACAAATTAAAAGCCACTCGCTGGGAACTTCATTAGAGAAAGTCGCAGACGATGACCCGCAGATCCCAGATCCCAGACCCCAAGCCCAGACATAAGACCCAAACCAAGACCCAGACCCACACCCTTTGCCTACTAATTTTTTAGTAGCTGTGTTGTTTTGTGTTTTGTCAAAGCTAATTAGTACGTAAAAACATTAACAATGGACCGCAGTGACGAATATATGATCGCCTCAGAGAGCCAGTTTGAGGCCCAAGTTCGACTGCATTTCAAGTGTGAAATGCATATTTTGTCTTACCCAAGGGCAAGTTTTGGGCCAAGTCATTATTACAATGGCATTTGCATAATACGCGTATTATGCGTATTAATTACAGCGCAGACATTTGCATTTAAACGCCTATTTGCTGGCCAGGCCAACAACAACAGACAAAACAGATCGGTGGTGGGTCTTTAGACCCAGTAGCTAATACCATCTATGGGCCCAACTATAATTATTAAATTAACAGACAATGCGTTGGGTTCGCTGCTGGCTAAAGACCTGCAAGATGCGTACATTTTGATAGGTTGAAAAAGCGACCACCCGAGCGTGGAGAAAGAGCTGAAGATCCAGCTACGAGATGGATTTGGAGTTGGAGTTGGAGTTGCAGATGGAGATGAAGCTGGTCCCATATACAGAAAACAAAAAGAGTTATTATGTGCAAATTTGCATAAATTTCACGCTTGCCAGTGAAATGATGCCAAGAGGAAGTTGTTAGAATGTCTGGAACTTGGCTTTCCCAGGCATCGCCAATGTATGTTTAAAGTATGGAAAATTAATTTCTTAATCACTGTTTTCGAGTTCAATGTGGGTGTCCAGAGAGGGAAGTCGTTTATCTTCGGAAGAGCTGGGAAGGCAGCTGAAGAGTGATCTCTAGTGTTTAGTATTAAAAATGTATTTAGAAATATCAGATGTGTTAACACTGAACACGCGCTTTACAACTGCAATGCTGATGATGGTAATAAATAAAGTTTAGATATTTTTATAATTTATATGCAATAACCTTTTACCCGGTAACCGGAAAGGCATTCAATTAATTAGCTTAGGGCAATGAGTAGATCAAAAGAAAAACAACTTTTATCACATGATTACTTATACTACATTTTCAGAGTACCTTACCGCTTACAAGAGTTTCTATCAATTGTTATTTTTTAACCCAACATCTTAAGAAATTCACTACCCAAATGATGCACATCAGAGAAATGCTCCAAGAGTGATTTTGGACACTTTACATAAACCTTATCACAATCGGCACCCGCGTGTCCCAAGCGTTCGGCCTGCAGATAATCGTTATCCGTATGCTCCGACAGGGCATCTTTTGAGCTGGAAGGACTACATACAAATATACAGTTAGTTCAGTATGTGGCAAGTTCACTCGCACGCGTTCCACTCACGTCAGCAATATGTGCAACAGATCCCCCAGCAGACCGTTGCGTTCATCAAATGGAGCTGCTGAGCTCTCGCAGATACTCTTTAAAATACACTGCCGTCCATTGAGATGCATGCGCAGAGCCATCGTCTCGAAACTTTTGTAAATGGACCAGCGATATCCGTTTAGCTCCTGTGCGGTGTCTTCCACATCTCTTGAGGCAAGGCCCAGTTCTTGATCAGTTTTTTGCATGACATGCTGAAATATTGTCGCATTATCCATGAGCATTCGGTCTGTTATGTCCTGGAACTCCTTTGTGCGAAGGTGCTTGGCCTTATTGGGCAACAAATAGTGGGCCTTGAACACATAGCCAGTTGTAATGGACTCAATGTCGAGATCATCCACTGGTATACCAAAGCCAGCTATAAACTGTAATTAAATCGCATCAGTACTACAAAGACTGGAGTTAATGAAGCATACCAACTTTGAATCTGGCGGGGCGGGAACGCGGATAGATGAGGGGCAGCCAGCGTGCCTTCCGCACCAGCAGATCACTTTCATAGCTATGGCTTTCGTTGTAGGCTAAAATAACAGTCAAATGAGCCAAACTAAGTGCTATTAGCCACATCAGCCGTATATGTGTCATATTTGTATCATTCGATTATCCTTTGCCCAATTTTCTTCAGGTATGCCAAACCTCACTGACTCGCTGTTGCCTGTTAACTATACTAACAACTTTGGAGAAAACAACTTCTTACTTTCTTTTATAAAACGAAAGTGCCAACTGATAATTCAAATTAAGCACAATACCAAGTTGAAGCCGTTGAAACATGTTAGCCATGTCAAATATAACTGACGACACTATCTGTTCATTTAGCTTATGGCTGTTAGAATCTATAAATTTCCTAAAAACTGCAGACATCGCGTTCTCTCAATTTACACCTTTACTATCTTCCAATAAATACACTAGATCAAACATAGATTATTAATTTGAGTAGATGAAAATTAACCTACATTTGAGAACAACTTTTATAGTTAAAATTTAAAAGAGAATTTGGGCATACTTGATTTAATTTGATGTACTCAATTAACACTAATATTAAAGTCAGCTGAAAATAAGCCAGATTCTTAAATAATTTTAAATTCTTGAAATCTTTGAAATTCACTTTGCTAGAATACAAAATTCTGCGTATTATTGCCAAGAACTTAACATTTCCAGATTGTCGTTCAGTTCACTAAAGTGTTGCAACAAACTGCGACTGCACTCTTTGAAGACACGCTCACAGCCTGCCCCCGTTTGTCCCACCTTCTCGGCGTAGTAGTACTCATTATCCGCATGCTCAGACAACTTATCCACCGATGAAGAGGGCCTGTAAGCAGTTTAAGACTCAGGCCAGTTGATGTTTCAAAGACAAAAGCTTTACTTACGTCAGGAGTATATGCAGTAGATCGGCAATGAGTCCATTGGTTTCATGAAAGGGTTCCTCGGCTACCTCGCAGATGCTCTTCAAGACACAGATGCGTCCCTGGTAGCCCAGACGTTTGGCCAGACCCTCCAGACCCCTGTACACCGTCCAGCGGTAACTGCTCAGCACCTGATTAGTTCTAGTTAGTAGCTTCCTTGTGCTCTTGCCCAAATCATCGACACCGACCAGAAAGTTCTCGAACATGGGTCGATGCCTACGTGCTCCAACGGATCCCAACGTGGGCACCTGGTGAATGGGCAGAGCTGTCGGCGTTCGAAGCGAAGTTGCCGTTTCGGGCAGCCAGTATTCTGCCTTGAGGACATAGCCTGTCGTTACCGCCTCAGTTTCGAGATCCTCTAGTGGTAAACCAATGCCACCTATAAACTGATTAAGAAATGGTTTTCTTTTTAATCTTCAGCCTGGAAATCTATTAGCTCTACACACCATAACACGAGTGGGAGATGTAGCTGGAAAGATGAGCCACGGTATAGGAGCCCTCCTGCTACGATCGTGTTTTGATAGGCTGCCATAAGCAGCAATTGTACTCGTAAACAAATTACAGATCATATTTATATATAATAGTCTACTTATTCCCGCTTTCATTTTTTAATTATTTCGTAGTAATTTTAAATCACTTCACTTTTGCAGACGTTGTTAATGCTTTGCCCATCAGCGAGTTACTGATTCTAACAGCATATACACAAAAACAAAACTTGCTAAAGTTCTCGCTTGAGCATTTATTACCGAAACAGCAACAGTCTTAAGAACAACAGTCTGTTGTCCAGAGTCTGCTTTCTTGCAACACTGATAAATTGTTACAAATTCTATTAATTAGCACCAACCGATTAACGCTTTCCACTCAGCAGACAGAAAAGTTTGCTTTGATACTGTGTAAAACTTGCATTTTCTAGTTTTAACTCAGCTATTTGGGTTACTTGGTTGGCTACTCAGTCTTAATGCAATAATAGCTTTAAGCACAACTGTTAAGCCAAAGATGCGAGATTATGAATATTTAAGACTTACTTTAATTATATTTCAATATTTTACTTATAAAATTGCTAGTGTTGTTTTTATCGGCAACAACCGACAAGCAAATCTACTTTGATCTTGATTAAATTACCTGTTTAATTAAGACGAGGTAGTTTTTTTATATATATTATTCATTTATTTTACTCTAATTTGTACATTTTAAAATTTATGGACAGTTTTAGTAAACATTAAATAAATAAAGAAATTAAAATAAATATAAAACAAGACCATTTCAATTTCTATCTATCCGCCTGCCCGAAAAAGTCGATCTCTGAGACTCCTAACAGCAGAAACCACAAATTTTGCAATACAATCTCTAAAAAATCATATGCCAATCATGCCTCTTTCGTTGTACAGGTAAGTCCCCATCTTTTTATTACTTATTATTTTATTTTATTTGATTATTTTTCACAATTTTTGAACTCATGTTCAAAGCCATGAGTTCAAAAATTGTGAAAAGTCCCTCGTATAAGGTCTGCAATGGACTTTGGTATTTGCTACTTAATATGTGGTCTGCCTTCCCAAAGGCTTTTAATTTAGTTTTTATAAAGAATTCCGACATATTATTAAGGAAAGGTGTAATTATAAAGAATTCCGATATATTATTAAGGAAAGGTATAATTTTTAACGAATCTATACATAAAATAAAGTTCTTAATATATTTATATAAAAAGTGAATTCTTATGTTTGTGCGCAGTCAAATCTAAGATTCTATGCGTTCTTTATTTTACTTCTAATATAAACTTATTTATTTGTTTTATATTAGCTAGATGTTTTATAATTTGGGGTTCAAGTTTGAATTCTACTTGCACCACATTCTGAATATGAAATTCTTCGTGCCACTTTAAGCAACGCCCTGTCTCACCCTGTAGTGACTATTTGCTTTGACACATATTTCTTTCTGCTCATGTGCATGGTGCCACTTGCAACTTGCAACTTGCAACTCGAAACTTCTAACAGTTCACTTAGCGCATTGTTCGCGATGGGTTCAAGTCGCTCCCATTCTTGTGGCAACTTCTTAGTTGAATTGGCTCTAATCTTGCTGACTGTAAAGCTGACCAGTGCAGTGCTGTTCTTTCCACGTGGCTCTTCAATAGGAGTAAGCCATTTATATTTGAATAAAATCCCATTTTAGTAAATTTGATCTTTAGTTGTTGACCGCAGTTGCCATACCATTGGATCTGACATATCGCAATGTGTATATGGCCTTCAACTTTGAGTCCAACTACGGCTTGCCAACAAATAACTCCGTTAATGAGTGGATCGATAGGGTGAGTGCATATAGCTTGAATTCCCAATAGTCATCCTAAAATACGGCTTTACACATAGTGGGATCTCGATGAGCAATTTCTGGGCATTGGGAGCAATGTGACGCCCATCGATGGACGCAATCTGGAGAAACGTGCGATTTCACGTCACGACTTCTATCGCGCGATTGTTAACTATTTGGGTCAGTATGGCTACAATGGCAGCGCCTGTTTGCTGCGCACTATCTGCGAGGTGAGCGCAGCTCCGCTGGATGCCGACAACGGCGTATGGGGCAGCATATTCAAAATACTCTTCATGTAAGTCGTTGGGGTTAGCTACTCGAGTGACCCCATGCGAGGACAACTTCCAAATCTAATTAGTGGCCTCACGCCATTCACAGGCCAACGACAAGCGCCGCCGAGTTGCGGCTCCAGCACGTGGACAGCCTCTACGATGCTTCACATTTTGGCACGCGCGGAATGGACTCGGACTGTGCTGATTACGTGGCTGGTTGTGCGCACAGCATGCTGGACATGATAAGCGTTCTGCTTTGAATCTGCGTCATGCGTGGTCACACTCAGAGTGCATTTTCGTTATTAATTAAACAAACAATATCCCAGCATGCATATAAGATGTGGGCTTTAACCAACCTAAATTTGATGTTCTACTAATTAAACGTCTACAGTAAACGCCAATAAATTTTAAATTTAAAGCTAACTTAAATACAACATTGATATTCCTGATGGTCAGCTTTTCAAACAAAGACTTCACTTTCAAATACAAATGACAATGTATTTTAGGAACACAAACAAGTAAAAATGCTGTGTCGACTATGCGCTAGACTAGAATATACCCTGAACCCAGCTGTTAAATAAATATATTCTAGTTTACTCTCATTTCTTACGATTGACAATCCAAATGTTTGACAGTAACGAGATCAATATGAGAATACCTATTCGAATATAACCTGAGTATTTCTTATCAGATTTTCTTTGAATTTGTAGAATTGATGAATAATATAAAAAAGCTGCGCCTTTTCAACTGTTTCTATTATTGATATCGGAAAACGAAATGTATCGATAGACGATAAAGGGAAGCAGCTATCGATAAAATAAATTAAACCTTCTGTGCGCGGGATATACGAGAACTTATATTTCAAATTTGAAAATTTCTGACACGGTCAGATCCGGCAGTTGATCCTGATCAAGAATATATATATATATATATATATATGTATCAAGGCATCGGAGATGCTGCGTTCTGCGTGTTATACACTTTTGCACAAAACCAATATACCCTTTTAGCCATTTTTAATGGGAGAAGGGTATAAAAATGCGAAAATCTGTAGCAATGTTTGCATAACAAGCAGCCAACTAAAGTTGCTCGCCTGCTGCGTGAAATGTTTTAATTTCGCTTAAAGCGCTTAAGACACCGCATCGCTCTGGCAACAAAATCCAGATGATGGTGATGAGTACCGGCCCTAAGCTGGCCGCAAAAGGAATCCGTAAACACGCACACAGACACACATATATACACATGGGGTCCCAGGGTATATTTGCCGATGCCTCGCGTTTTGTTCAAGAGCAAGGCGTAGTGTTGAGCGTTGGTACCTTCTTTATTTCACTTACTTCATATTGTTTTTTTTTGGCAGCTCTTCGCCTCTTTGATCGTTTTTTCCGCTCCTTTTGTGGGCTAACAAAAAGAGAACTCTTTTTGTTTGCGGTCTGAGCCTGTCAACAATGGCTTACATATGTACATACATGTGTTTTAGTTGCTGGGCCAGGTTTTGTTCTTTGGTTTTTTTTATTTATTATTATTATTTTGGCTGTTTGTTATTCCTTTGATTTGATTTGCCGCCTTAAAGGGACCACGCTTTTGTTCATAAGACGGTCGTTCTTTGACGGACTGGTGAGAGCGAATTACGCCTTCTTTGATTTCGCAAACCTATTGAAATCATAATTAGAAGACAAACGCTTCAAGTTGTTTTTAGCACAATAGCCGGCCAACAAAGCAGAAGTGCTTATTTGCGTCGTGCAGTTAAGAAAAGGATTCCTAAGCCCTAAGTGCTAATAAAGATAAGGAAGCGAGCACATTTTTGTTGAAAGTTGAGGAAGCTATTTGATTTCTACTCTTTGCAGCTGGAAGTTGAATAAACATCAAAAAGCAGACAAAAATAAACATTTTAAAAGGGTATTTAAAAATCATATGTATATTGTATCATATGTTCATGTATTTCCTTTATTGGCTTCACAATATCATCACCGAATCGAATTTAAATTTTGGTGCACAAAGCTTACAAATTTAATGTTAAAAAAATGAAAATTCTAAACTTTATCACATAATACAGATACGATTTTTATGGTGCGCTACTGCCACATAATGGTGCAATACAAAAGTTTGAAAATTAAATGAGAACGAGGGTCTGCAATTGTATAATATATTCTTCCTAAAATAGCCGCCTTTCGATTCGTCCTTTTAAGCTAAAAGATCTGAAAGATTATCAGACCTAGAGACCTAAAATTAAAGTTCTTGTAAATCAGTTTGAATACATATATACAACGGGAACGACCATTATGATGTTCCGCTATAAAGTTTTGGTTCCAATATTGTATTTTCGGGATAAATATTATAAGCTGCGGTATTTGGACTATACAAATATTTTGAATTGAGACTCCGGCTCCGACATAGAAGTTCAATCAGTATTCAAATTCCGCTTTGACACCCTTGTATTATGGATATACTTGTGTATATTTACACATTGAGGAGTACTAAAATCGATCTTTAAATAGTTTTTTCGCTATTTATGACTTTGTTACTTCAAGTTACTTCAAGATGCGCATATCCACGCCACTGATTTATTGCCCACAGTTTCCATTTGCTATTTTAAATTACGCTCGAACTACGCAAGCATACTAAAACATTTTAATAGACTTGTCAAAAAGGCGACCACATAAAATGGCAGGTGGTTGTGTCGACTAAGCCACATTCATTTCCTGTGGGGAATTGATTTGCCTTGGGTTTCTTCAGTGGGGCTGAGTAGTAGGGAAATGGGGATTCTATGACAGGAAGCAGGTTATTGCTTTTTCGATTTTTAATTGCTTCATTATAGGAGCTAATTTATTGTTTTTGGGTGGGGGAGTGACAGGTGTGTGACCTTTTTTAGGAAAATGTGTGATTTTGGATCACGTATGAGACATTTATGATCGAAGGGTATAGATTTATGGCTGACCCTTTTTTTATTGTGGGTTGGTATGAGGTGGAGGATCACTGAGCAGCACTAGTGTGTGCGTACGTGATTGTGGTTTTAAGGGGGATATTGTGTGCGAGGCGTGTAACCTGTAAGCTGTGTGTTAGAATCAAGTGGAAGATCAGCTAGCAGCTGGCGCACTGCTGTGGATGTTCATGATTTGATTATTGAGGGTGGGTGCAATGATCAGTGGAAAGGTAATGCTCGCTTCTCTTTTGTCACTTTTTTGTCAATGCATAGAACTCATACGAGACCTCACACCTGAATGTTTTCCCACACAATAATTAAAGTATTATTGGTGAAAACTGTTGTTAAGTAGGTACTTCGCACGTACGTTTGCCACGTGCTGGTACCTTCTTCGTGTGTTTGGTTCTCCCCTCGGGCTTCATATCTGTGCACCTGCGGGCTTCATATCTAACATTTTGGATTCTGATTTCTAAAACCTTAGTAGTTTTCAAACTCTACAATCGTCAACTCGTGTGTGTTGTGCCCTCAAAGTTTAAAACAAAACCATCAAAACAACCAATTAAAATGTTCAATAATAAGAACAACAACGTGAACACCATGGAAGGATTCAACTATGTCTCCCGGAATAACTCGGCTCAAGGACAGAGCCACCCCAATTATTTCGACCACTTAACTTATGTGGCTAATACGGGCATGCCCGCCAATCCAACCCACTCCATCTGTAACAACAACAACATCATTACCAATCCCACCGCCAACTCCACCAGCACCACCAACAATCCAACCCACTCCATCTTCAACAACAACAGCATCACTCTCAATCCCATCACCACAAGCACCAGCCCCATCATCAACTCCGTCACCACCGCCACCACCAACACCAGCTCCATCATCAACTCCGTCACCACCACCAACAACATCAACTCCGTCACCAATAACACCAACTCCGTCGCTTCCAATATCATCTGTAATGGAGTACCAAATCAAGCCAGGGTCTGCACCGCATGCAATATACAAATTGCATCATCAAAGTGGAGCGCGCATCTTCGTTCCAATGCCCACAAGATGCTCGTTTTTACGCCTGTAAATAGTCAGGTGAAATTAATTTCGAGTGGATTTAAGAATCGGATCTCGACATTCTCATTTGAGAATAAACACAAAAATGTGGTCGATCCAACAGAGTTTCTGGGTGAAGCAGCTCAAGAAACTCTTCCATTAATTCATAATGTATTGCTAAGTCACACAGCATGCAAAATGAATATTGAACTCTTTGCAGAGTATATTAAATTCACTGATGATGAATTGCTGATGACAATTAAATCTCATCAGTCTAATATGAGTGTCATAACAGCGTCTAGTGATCTGGGAGAGACAATTAAAGATCACTCAGCTATAATTTGTGTGAAAATGGATGAGTTCCAAGAGAAGGACAGTGGTTGGACACTCTCGCAAATCTTAAGGCTGGAGGTAAACATCAATAAATATACTCCACTCAAAGTTTCAAGCTTTATTGAAACGCCTAAAGTGTTGAGGAATAAAAAAGCATTAATTAATGTTAAAAATGCTGATGAATTTTGCTTTAAATGGGCATTAATATCAGCCCTTAAAGCACCAGCTAACAACCAGCCTGCACGATGCTCAGCATATAAAGTTGATGCGATTGAGAGCGACGTGATACAAATTGATGGAGCACTGACGCTCAATTTTTCCAATTTGGATTTCCCTCTTCCATTGGATCAGATAAAAATTTTTGAAGCTCAAAACCAAAACATTAGCATCAATGTTTTTGGTTTCGATGAGCAGTCCAATGCTGTTAACGGACCATTATATGTGACGGAGATGGAGAAGAATACGCACATAAGCCTTATGTTGCTGGAGAGTGAGGAGCGCGGACATTTTGTGTGGATAAAAAATTTGTCAAGGTAATATTTAATAAATACTTTTTTCCAAAAAACAAAATTTTTAATACAAATATATTTGTTTTTTTTTTTATACTTCCAGACTTGTAAGACGCCAACTTACATCGCACAAGACGCAGTTGTACTTCTGCAAGACGTGCTTGAATTTTTCCCATAATGCGCGGATGCATGAAGAGCACCGTCAACAGTGTGGGAAGGTTGTGTCAACGCTCCCTACCGAAGAAAAAGCAAGTCTTAGTTTTAAGAATTTTAGTCGTAGTTTAGACGTACCTTTTGTTGTATACGCAGATTTTGAGTGTGTTCTAACCCCCCTCAATTCGCAATTGAGTGAGAATGTAATAGCAACTTCTCAGCATATCCCCATAGCTTATTCGTACTATATAAAGTGCGCCTTTAACCCAACATTAGATAAGCTTGTTCT